AGGTCGAAGTGTGACACCGAGGGAGACAGCATCACCTGTGAGGCCTTGAAGTTTTCACTGCGATATCGATATCGATGGTGAGGGCAATACACAGAATTCTTTAAACTTTGAACATTTTGTGTTTTAAATACATTTATTTGAACAGGTCATGATTTATTTGTATAGATAAATAAACTTGGAATGCTCCGGATTCCCTAACATGATTCTCAAGGAGTCTTTGACATGTTACTTGCTGATTGACACTTGGCCTTATATAGTTTCCTTGGCCTTCCTGGAACTGCCAGGCTTGTTCATCTTTCAGGTTGTTTGGAAGTCATGTACTGCCAGTCAAGCATGAATCTCGATGTCATGCAGTGTTTTGACTCTCATCAGAGCTGCCAAGCAAGCAGACATGGATGGAGCATTCATTTGCTTAATGACAGTGACAGTCGATCCATTTCACCCAATCCTCAATCTACTGGTGCACTTACTAGCAGCTCAGCAGTCGCCATTTGGTCAAACTGTAGTCTGGAGTCATTTTTCACGAGGCATTCTGCCGAAAATGGGCAGCATGGCTTTGCTGAAGATTGTCATACCCGCGGTTTGCTTGGGACATGCTTGTCCCTTGCTCACGGGAGTAATTCTTGTGGCACTAGGCCTTTGGGCAGTGAGATTACATCCACGGAAGACCTTGGACATGAGCTGGCTGGACCTTCTGGCTTCTTTCAAGGCTTGCTTCACCCGTCGAGACCGGCAGAGTGTGGAGAAGCAGCTGCAACAGATTTTGAGCCCGGAAGAGATTGTGACCCTGTCGGTCCGTTCTGCCTTTGATCTTCTGCTTTCAGCTTTAGACCTCCCAAGGGGTTCAGAGGCCGGGCCGAGCGTTTTTCGGCGTCACAAAACCGGCGTCACCAACACCGGTAGATACCAGTGGTTTTTCGTCCTATTCACCCATCGATGCACAGACCCCATCGATGCGGAACACAGGGTGTTTTCGGCACCGTTTGGGCAACCCTTCCACTTTTGGAATTCAGGAGAATTGGCAGGTCCGAACTGGCTTTTTGGATCCACCCATCTTCCAGTCTGGCACCCTTGCCCCTTTCCATCCCCTGCTGCCAGGTGCTGTTTGTGCCCGGCATCACCATTCCGGCCATGGTTCAGCTCGTGGAGTTGCACGGTTTACAGCCGGTGGGCGTGGACCCTCTGTCGCCTCAGCAAATGTTGCCAAGTCAACTGGAGCCCTTTGTGACCACGCAGACACGGGTGGCACCTCGGTGGTCTTAGCGCTGAAGTGAAGTGACGGAGGGCTTCGCGGCAGGTTCCGCCGGGATGCCCCCATTGTACTTCTCGGTCAAGTCTTTGTGAAGCTCCTCAAGTAGGTCGGATCTCTGATTCAGTTTTCCCAACAAAAGGTTCCAGACACAAACGGTCAAAGACACGAAACAAAGTACTTCTCAAAGTGACCTGTGGAATCTCACATTCTTTGCTAGTGACTGTCGATTGGTAATCTGTGCTTGTGCCTATTGGCCTATGGGCAGATGCCAGTTGACATTCGTTCGTAACCCACAGGACAAAAACAAGTTCATGTTCCGGCGATCACAACTGAATGCCCGCACTTTGCTTTGAAGAAACGGAATTCAGATATCACACCGTTCCTTCAAAGCGGCATTCTGACCGAAGTTCCGACCAAAGGCATTCTGGAATGGCAAATTGGTAGGACGAAAGACGGTTGAACCATATTTGCGTCCCTTTAAACTTCTTTCTGCATCCATCCTTCCAGGTCATCATCTCTCATCTATTTGGAACCATCCACAAAGCTGGACACTTGATCCGGGAGGCGAAGGATCTCGGGCTTCTCGTGGTGGAGGATTGCAACCATTTGCTTCAGATCTCTATTTTATTCCTTTCCATCAATTTTGGGAATCATGGGGCAGTGTCAGGCCCAAGATACTCCAAAGAAAAGGAATTTAATCACTGTAAGATTCCTTGAACTTCTTTATTGAGGGGTTTTGGGGTTCAACGGTTCATTCAGTCCTTCTTTTAAATGATGTCTCTGCGGTAAACCCCGAGGATTGTGCGCAGAGCTTCCTGGGTGCGATGCCCGCGAATCGGCGTTCTCTAGCCGCTCCCTGGCCCATGGGCTTTCGGGGCCACGAAAGTGCGGACGTTTGCCTCAGCAGCTTCGGGAATATCAAAACTCTCACGGCCTCTTGCCACTGAGATGACCGGTGCTACGACGTCCGGACCGTCGACGACGTTTTCATTTTTTTCACGAAAGGTAGCTTCAGCTGCCTGAGTTCAATTAGCTTTAGCTACAGGGCAGGATCCTGCCAAACGCCATAACTTTGGGCTCGTTAAAGCTAGTGGATCAACTCCACCCTGGGACGGGTGAATTTTCCTTCAATTGTACTGGTACCGTGGCTTCGTGTGATTGGATTCGTATCGAGCTTCTCCTCCCTCCTCGTAATTTGGCTACTGCTGCTGCTGCTGCTCCTGCTCTTCGAATCCCACGGATCTCTCTCTCGCTCTCTCTCTTCTCTCTTCTCTCTTCTCTCTTCTCTCTTCTCTCTTCTCTCTTCTCTCTTCTCTCTTCTCTCTTCTCTCATCTCTCATCTCTCATCTCTCTTCTCTTCCTCTTCTTCTTCTTCTCCTCTGTTTTTTTTCTTTCTCTCTTCTCTCTCTCTCTCTCTTCTCTCTTCCTTCTCTGTCTCTCTCTCTCTCTCTCCCTCTCTTCTCTCACTTCTCTCACCTCTTTGAATTTTGAACTTAATGACCTACCTTTCGTCCACCCCCTCCCACTCAAGTTTTCTCCGGGAGGCCCCCTTTCAGGCATTTCGATTGATGAAGATGATGAAGTAGGGTATGTGACTTTCTGTAGCCATCTCCAAGGCCTTGGGCGGAGGACTTGCACGCATCAAAGACCCCAAAGTACGTGCTGAGATGCAAGAGCTGCAGTCCACCTGGCCAACTCGTCGAACTTCCCACCGCCTATTCACCGTGCTCGGGGCCTCTTTTTTCAAGCAGTTTTGCTTGACACCATGTCTTTATGGCTTGGTGGAGACTCTTTGTGCAACACTGGGGCTCGATTTTGATGGCCTGATTGTTTCCAGTGTTCGAGGATTCGGCAAACTGGAGTATATCCGGCAACAACCCTCCTTAGCTTTGCTGGAGTGCCTTCTTCGTCGACTTCGGGAGCAGCACATGGCATGTTTTGAGGACTCCTCCCTGCAATCCTCCGTGGCAAAGAGGCGACGCGTGGCCAAAGTGGTTGTGGAGCGTCTCAGTGAGGAGGGCATCGACTGCTTGACTTATGGGGATGGCAGCAATGCTTGGTGGCTTCTTCCCATCCTCTCAACCAATCCAAAGAACATGGCCAAAGACCTGCTTTCCTATGGCTTTGATGCGACCAACACCTCCACGCAACTCCAGCGAGTAGCATCAATAGCTACATGCAAGTCCGCTGCTACAAGGCCCTCAGATGGGAAGGACAGCTTGGAAGAGCAAGAGGAAAAACACAAACCTCAAGGTACCAAGGGTCGGATCGGTGAGATGACCAAACAGAAACGATACAAGCTTGAAGGGCTTGAAGCAAGACAATACTAGGTACCATGCCAACAAGTTTGGAGCACAACTGTGCATGATGCTGCAAGACACCAAATCCACTTGCCCCTTCGCCAGTTGTGGGGTCCTTGTTGTGTACAAAACACTAGTCAGACTGCATAGTCATCTCAAAGTCTCAAGCCAGGTTTTGCCAGTTGAGAATACAGCGCTGAAAATGAGCCAAAACCATGCTCTGGTAGCAACCACACTAATTTAATCCAATAAGAGCTGGGATAGCTAGATTTTCAAGATTTTCCATTGAGTGTCCATGTTGGTCAAAGTGCCATTAAGGCCTCGAGTGAACTCTGCAGGACTTTATGGAGCAAGTCGTGTATTTGCCGTTATGCCCGGATATGGCGCCTGAAGCTTGGTCAATGTTCGAGGGCAGGCCATCTATATAGTGGATCAGCATGTTTAGAGAATTCAGAGAACATCTGCCATCTACCTAAGTGGGAGATGTTCAAGTGCTTTTGAATGAGTTACTAGCTCAATCATTTGGCAGCGTTGGAAGCACTTGAAGGTGGGTCCACGACGTGTTTGACAGATATTGGGAATCAAGAACGATCGGGTCGATCAATTCTCCCTGCTTGGAGTCCAAGGAAACAGCATCGAGCTTAGCAGATGCAGTGGTGAGACTCCACGCCGGCAAGAAGGGGCCTCGAAGCTCAGGCAGGATGACGTCCGGCAACGCTCATCACACGTGGCATGCATTGGCAACAGTGGCTTTCAACACGGAACCGGGGAAGTATATAAGGTTAACCTAGTGGAAGACAGAAACTTGCCTAAGGCCTGAGGTAAGCTAAACACCAAATTTACTCCATATTCACTGTCGCTACACAATCAACGATCATTTGTGCCACGATAACTTGCTGACTTGCTTTGTTTTGGCACTTCCGGGGATTCCAAAGTCAAGTTGGACGTCTTTTCTTCCTGGTGCCACGGAAAGGCCATGGTCTCGTCTCCTGTATTCTTGGAAGTGCCTTTCTGCTGATGCCAAGCCTCTCGGCAGAAGATGTTCTTCAGCTCGTGAAGCTAGCTGGACAATTTGAGGACCGTAGAAGTCTTATGCCAGACCGCTTAGGCCTGATGTCTTGCTGGCTTCCTTCTGCACGACAAATTCTCCTACTTTCGCTCCTCTTTCTTCTTGGGATCTTCATCATGACCAGAGTCGCCAAGTGGTTTGCGGCCGACCCTGATCTTCGGATGAACCCGAGGCTTGTCAAGGCCAGGACGATGCAGCTGACGGGCATCGGCTGGTCTGGCTGGGGCACGCTACATTGTTGTCCTTTGAGTCACAAGACAACGCATGTTGATACTCATAATTATCCCAGTTGAAGCATTGTTCTTGGATATTTGAGGTCCATTTATGTCCATTTTTGTCTTAATTTGTATGGAGAGAGGAGTGGGCTAAAATACAAAGTATGTCCGTGACCCTCTTTCAGGCGATGTCTGCTCCTCCGAGGGCAGAGGGTGTCGATTTTTGCAGAGCTCACCCACTGGATTTACGCCTTGATGGAGCGGTGCTGGTGACTGGGGCTACTGGCTTTGTTGGTGGTGGTACCTGCGGTTGCAGTAAAGGCTCCTTTTGATTTCTGTGAGTCCATTTCGGTTTGAAACTCTCAGAACATTCGATGTCACAAGGGATTTCAGAAAGCCACGAGGTATTCTGTTCTCTTTGTTGTCCAGAGCCGAAGAATTGGGTCTCACAAAGATCGTTCTGATGGTGCGTCGGCGCGCGGGCAAGACAGTGGAAGAACGCCTGCAGAAGCTCAAGGAGAATTCGATGTTTGATGGCCTCCGCGAGACCTTTGACCAGCTAGTGGTGGGTTTGGAAGGAGATGTATCTCAACAAAATTTTGGCTGGAAGGAGCATGAAAAGAGTTGGCCACATCAGGAACGCTTGAAAGCAGTCTTACATTGTGCCGGCGATGTGAGATTCCAACAACCAATGCAGCAAGCGGCCGTTTCTTTGGTGTCCGCGACGCTGCAGGTGCAACAGTTGGCCTCACAATGGAGGTCCAAACGCTTCCTCTTCGTCTCAACGGCTTTCGTCCATGCTGTGCCACCCAGCAGCACTGAAGCACTGGAAGAGAAATTGGTCGAGTTGCGGGATTTTGATGCGATGGAACTTTACCGTGATGCCATGTCGCACGGGAGCTGGGCAAAGACTGCGATGCGTGAGCTGGGTTTTCCAAACACCTACACCTTTGCCAAAGCCATTGCTGAACATTTGGTGATTCGAGCCTGTGAGGCAGATGAATTGGATGTGAGAATTGTACGACCCTCAATCGTTGGGCCCTCCTGGGCTTTCCCTTACACTGGATGGGCTGGCGACAAGCCCTCCACCATTGTTGGCGCTGGCGCCCTTCTGGCCAGACGTGGAGTGCGAGTGTTCCGTGATGGTTTTGACCATCCATGTCCAGTGGTTCCGGTGGATATGGTGGCCGATCTCACTGTCAGGGCCTTGTGTGGAGCCTCCAATGCGGAGCCTGGGTCTTGTTTGAAACTGCTTGTGTGGCAAATAAACGCCCCAAACGCAAAAGGGAAACTCTTTACGTGGCAAATGGCAAATGCGCGCTTTGCGTCGTGTTTGACTCTCAGGAAAGAGGACCAATTCTGCACGCCTGTCTAGATGCCACCGAAGCGGACCAAATGCCATCATTCAGGTTTGCTCTTCGCCTTCTTTTCCAAATATTTGCATTGAAGGGCATTTTGCCACTGCTCCTTAGCGTTAACGAAAAGGACAATTTAGAATTGAGTTCCAGACAATTCAGGAAACCAAACAACATCAAACAACATCAACGTTTCAGAGATCGTTAGATCGCAATCAGGTTTGAGCTGGGCTTCATGTCGAAGCTACTGAGAGCCAGTAGCAATGCCACCGTGTTCTACTATGCCAACAGCATTCTCAACGTTTTTCCAATCCATTTTCTTGATGCTGTACGCATTTGTTTGGAACGGATCTTCTCCATGTTCGGCCAAAAGTTGAGCAAGGAGTTTTCAACCGTGGTCCGGGTTCTTGTCTCATGCCGCAGCCTGCCAATGGACTACCATCCCTTTTCCAGTCCGTCAACACCCTGGCGATTCAAATCGTGCCTCCGTTTGGCTGAAGAATGGGATCTCTTTGAGTATGTCCTGATTTGCGGTCGGGCGGCCTATGCCTTTGCTTTGAACCCGTTGCAAGGACCGGAACGTGGTTATGCCAAGGAGTTCTCTGAGATACGTATTTGCTCCAAAGAGACAGCCATGACTGATGCCTTGTTGGCCTTTGTCCATCCTGAAGCCTCAATTTTCTACTCCATCGCAGCCTTTGTAGTTCGGCTGGGTCTCAGTTGGATCAGCCTTACTGTGACGGTGGACGGAACATCTTTGTCCTCAATTACCAGCCTTGATGCGCCATTGGTATTGTGTCCTCAACATCGGTCTGTCTTGGACTTTGTCATCATTGGTTTGATGTGCTCTCAGCTCCAGCCTTTGCTGTACCTGAGCAGTGTTTTAGATGGACTGAACGAATCTTTAGGAACTCTGCAAGGAAGCAACCAACATCAACCAACTGTGTTCTATCAACCTTGTTTATCACTGAGAAACGCACAGGCCACTCGCTCGAAAGTATCATTTGGTTCGATGCAACTTGCTGATCAGCAAGAAACATTCACAAACAAAAGTTGGCAACGAAGGACTTGGATTCTTAAAACCAACAAACACATCTAGCTAAAACACAATAAAAACACGCACAACGTATATCAACAACAATATATATATATATGTATGTATTATGTACAAAAACATATAATATACACCTAACAGCCGTTGAGTCTCCCTAAAGCACCATGTTTTGTCATATTTCGTCCGATTTGCAATTCAACCCCAATCAGATGAGGCCACTGCATTTGCCTCACGTGGCCGCAGACGCAGAGTTCTCGAATTTGCCGGTCTTAGGATGGGCTTTGAGTGGTTTGGGCTACTCAGCTCCAAGGGTTAAGTTTCTTTGGGGTTCTTTTTTTGACTGTATAGAAGATTGATAATGGCTGCACATGCCAAACAGCGCATTCTAAAGACCGTCCTGTTTCGTTCCGTTGGAACTCCGACGGGTCCGCCCTCGAGTCTCAGAGGTGCTTTCTTCGTGCGTCGTGGAGGTGGTGCCGTGCAGCCGGACCCCGCCTTGCGCGCCAAGGTGGGTCGAGTGTTCCAGAGCGGGCGCCCCCTGGAGGCGCGTTTCGGTCGGGACGTGTCAACGAAGCACGAAATGGGAGCGTGCCTGTTTTGGTGAAGGTCCTCAAAACAGAGCACAGCAGCATATGTACTAGTGCATACCAAGAACAGATTCACATCATCGGAATGGACGTGTCATCACTATCGCTCTTAGGTTGGAGGCCATTGCTTCTAGGTTGGAAGCGACCGTAGGAGCTTCATCGGTGCAGGTCTTCCTGGAAGGCCTGCGTTCCCGCGGCCGCCGGCAGCTCCGCTTGCGGACAGGGCTCTTGAAAGCGTTGCGGGATATCTCACAACGAACCGTGGCACTGGTGCCTTTGGCCATGTCTTACGAGTTGCTCCCCGAGGATGATGCCTGGCTGTGCAACACTGGGTGGTGACTTGGAACGTCTTTTTCATCCTTATGACTTATGACAGAATGCTGATCCAGATGGCTTGATTCTTTTGGGACATGGTTTTCCAATCAGATCGTAAAACAGACACACCCACCAAGACTCCTCAGTGGCCTTTTTTGGAGTTTCATTGCACCAAAGGACATGTCAGCAATTGAAGTTTAAACTTTGGCCCTTTCCTCCTGGAGCATTGCCCATGACATGTGCTTCACTTGCCTTGATACATTTCTTGCACCTTTCAGCGCGATGATAAATCATACCGCTCCCCAAATCTCCAAGGCTCCAACCATTTTCCAGCATCTCTTTTCCTAGCGGTCCTATATTCCAGCCTCGTTCATCCATCCATATCCATATCCATCCATATCCATCCATTCCGCTTTGTTCTCCTCAGGAGAGTTTGTACAAAGAGATGTGTGGCCTTCCGCGAGATCCTCTCCGTACCTTGGACCTGCTCTTCTGGGTCGTCCGAGGCCTGAAGGATGAGCTGCCGCCCGTGGGCGAGGCCTTCATGAGGCCGATGGAAAGACCGGGTGAGTCGTCGGGTAGAACGGCGGAAGACGAAAACAGCTGCTGGTGGACACTATAGCTGGAACAACCTTTGGGCATGACAACAAAACGTTTGGCCCCAAGACAAATTAAAGGAACTTCTTGCTGCAATGCTTTTGATAGGTTTGGAGCTGTCCAAACCCTGGCAGCTTCGAGCGACCTCGACCTTGTGGTTTCTGCATCTCAGCAAGCAGAAAGCTGGGCCCTTGCACGATTATGTCAACGCCTCGTCTTCGTCTCTTTCACCTGACACCCACAGAGACACTGTTGGGTCCGACCAAGGCCGTACAGAAAGAGTTGGTTGCGGATACCAGGCTTAGCACCCTCCACTGCCGAGCCTTGAGCGAGTTCTTGCAGCAAGATATGGACAAGGTTGGACGATGGGCTGTGGCCGGTCAACGCGCCGAGCCGAAGAAGCAAAGCATGTCGAAGATAGTCTAGCGTTGGGCAACAGCTTCGCTCGAACTAAGGGAGACACATGGAGAAACAAGAATAATGACAATGAACTATCTCTAATGGAGCCGACACACTCGTGTCGCGTCGTGTTGAAAGGTCGTCAAGTCCATGTCAGAGGAGATTGAGATCAGGAGCGGGAGTGGGACACCGCCTCCACACCGAAGGAAGGAACACCATTTGGTCCGCTCGGAGTCCGCTCGGAGTCCGCTCGTTCCTTCACCGAGACGTGAAAACGCACGTTCAAACGCACGTGATTTGCACTGCCAAATTATGAGTTTGGGCATGATAGATAGAATGACAAGTACACCTCCACAAAAAATGGTGTCGGAAACCGTGTTTATCTATTTGGGGGCCACTATAATAAGGGCACACCTGGCCAGCTGATTGGTTTCATCCAGGAGCTCCTCCTGTCAAGCTGTTCTGCGCGAGTGTGAACGATGGCCCCTGCTGCTTCAAGCGGCCACGTTAACGCCTTTGCGACGGCGCTTGCCACGGCCTTGGGCCAAGTGGCTGGTGGAAGGGCCAGATGATTCAGGCCATTCAGAGACACAACCAGCTCAGTCTTGAAGGAACGTGGACAGTCTTGAAGGAACGTGGCAGGAAAGAGGAAAAACTCAGCCATTCTTAAGCTTTAAGCTGCCTTCAGCTGATGATTGTTCCTTCCCGAATTTCTCCAATTCCAGTGCCCTCTTGCATCTGCCTCTGAATGCTGAGAATCGGATATGAATCAGAAGGGGCACCCGCACGTTGACAACTGTTAGGCCCCGCACATTTTGTGACTGCCGACCGGGAGGTCCCCAAGAGAAGCAGCAAAGTTTGGACGAGTTGGCCACTGCCCTTTGTGCCCACTTGACTGCCGCTGAACAAGCAGCACAGAACTGCATTGATGCTCTGCGGAAGAATGGCATCGTTGAGGTCACGGAGGAACACCTGGTGCAGGAGACCAAACCACTTCTAAGCGACTCAACAGGTCATGGTGGAACATGTCACACGGCAGCCTCTTCCAGTCCTGCCTTTGACAAATATATAAATGGGATCTTCACAGACCTGTCCGAGTCCAGGTCCTGCAGCCTCGAACTCGCTTCCATCAAACCTGATTGGCAGACCGAAGCTGCGTGTGTAAAAAACATCCGTGAAATATATACATAGATAGATGGTGAACCAAAAGGCCAAGGCAGACCTCGGGATTCCCGGGTACCGCTTCTCCGACGAACGCTTCAGGAGCTACTTGCAACCAGTTCAGTGCCACCACCCTTGGCACAGGGAGCTGCTTGCATTGTGGCCAGGTCCTTTGGTGCCTTCGGCGGTGTCACGACACTTGGGCGCTTTCTTTGTGCTGAATTCGATTGCAGTGCCTTTTTTCCCTTTGGCTTTGCGGGGCAGTGTTAACAGTTGGAGGTTTAGGTGCCTTTGACGTCAGAGTCAGAAACCCGTGAGACATCCAAGTCTACTGAAGCGATCGCAGTGAGGAAAGGAAAGCCACGCGCGTCACCGAGCTCTGTGACCTTGCTTTGGCCGACCTCACAAGCAGAACTGAAGGACGAAGAATCACTGGATCGCTGGGGCTTCAAGGAGAGACAGGGGCGCCAATCCGGCGGTTCGGAGTGAGGATTCACGGTGTCAGAGATACTGGTACTGGGTGCTATTTGCTTTCAGCAGTTGCTGAAGTGCGGAAAAGTCACAGTTTGTCGTACGTCGTCCTCCGTCTTTCAGAGTTTGCAAAGCATTCTTCACTACTGACTCTTCTGTAGCTAGTTAAGAGATCTTGTTCTCCAGGACACCAAGTTCATTGCACAATACGTGGATGGTCGGCCAGCGGCACAGATCACCTCGCAGAGGTATAAGGCTTTAGGCCAACAGCCCATGTACCGACTCTGGGAGCTCTTCCAAAGAAAGCTTTCAGTGCCATTGACTGTGCGAGATTTGATGCCTGAGCGCCCCATGCCGGATTTGCCAAAGCCGGCGGAGGGCTTGGAAGAGATCCTGGCCGCTGTGCTTCCGCAGGAGGGACGCGTGCGGATGGATGCGGACGCGCGGCTTCGTGCAGGTACAGGCCATGGCTTAGCAGACATTTGGCGGCTGCGTACAAGGCTGTTGGAACGCTTTCCAGATGCAGTAGTACGTCCTGAGACCGAGGAAGAAGTGCAGGCCTTGTTGAATGCAGCGATGTCCTACAACCATGGTGTTGGCTTTGGCATCATTCCTGTGGGTGGGCGAACAAACGTCACTTCTGCGACCAAATGTCCATCTACAGAAGTTGACTCAAGACCAATGGTATCGCTGGACATGCGTGGCCTTTCCAAAGTTCTTTGGGTAAACGCAGAAGATGGAGTTGCCATGATAGAAGCAGGAATTACAGGCATGGACCTAAAGACACTTGGTTTACAAGCTCAGATTCTTATGTTTTTGCGCTTTTACACTTTCGCACTCAAAGCCAAAAGTCCTTGCATGCTTCTTCCTTTTCTGGCTTCGCTGAAAGGAAATCCTTGAAGAAGCACGGCGTGACCATGGGTAGCTCAGCTGTTGACTCAGTCTATCCTTTCTATTCTTGTGCGCTCTGTCGACGGTATACGGCATGAGATCATCCGCCGGATGTTGCTGCAAGATCTCATCACTTGCCAATTGGTAGCTAGTAGCAAGAAGCTATATACTAGTAACAAGGCCATCGCTACTAGTAACAAGTGCATCGCTACTTGTAACCAGAAGCTACTAGTATGCAGATGCTGTTGCGGCATGTCTCGTCACTATAGGTCCGTCTCGTCACTATAGGTCTGTCTCGCCACGGGAAACCGAGGCATGGAGCCAGACTCCATGGAGCTTTCGACCTTGGGTGGCTGGATAGCAACACGAGCCAGCGGCATGAAGAGAGCGCGGTATGGCAACATCGAAGACATGGCCTCTTCGACGGCACACGAAACAAACCTTCAAAGCCAAAGGTGTTTTTCATAGTTCTTGAGAAAGGAAATACCTCTTAGGCTCTTAGGATGTTTGGAATCAACGCGAGATCCTGAGTATATAGGCGTTCCTCCAAGTTCGGTTAGAGACCGGGCATAGATGAAGATAGGCTATGATCAAATAAAGAGGTATCTACATGATAATGATCTACACAACCTTTCCCAAAGACCGACCTCACCCATTGTGTGCCTCGGCATGCCTCGGCTCGGTCCCGACCGAGGTTCTGGAGGTTCGTCTCATCACTCCAGGCGGTGCCATTTGGCAGCGCCATGGTGATCCAAAGGCTCAGGCAGAAACAGCCATTGGAAGAGCTTCGACCAACATCGGTCCTTCAGCATTGGCATAGTTATTTACCTATTTATTACTATTGTTATTATTGTGATTTATTGTTATTTTTTTGATTTAATTGATATATGTTTACTTGTTTTTTACTAAACGTCATATTATTATGTTACATGTTTCAATAAATTTCTACATGCTTCTCCTCCAAGTAAGAATTTGTCATACTATCTCCAAGGACCATCAGGACCTTGATGATATACTGATTTCTTGGTTGCCAATCAGGTCTCCCGGCCATGGTACTGGGCAGTGAAGGGTGCCTTGGAGTGATCACTTCTGCAGTGGTGAGGGTGCGGCCTTTGCCTCAGGTGCCGGGACGTCGAAACGGGTCGTCGCCTTGTCGCCTTCCCGAGCGGCCCGGAGGGCAGTGACGACATACGCACGAAATCACACGAAGCATCATACTGGCTAGCTGGAAGTGCCATGCTTCCTGGAGAAAGAACGTGATTTTGGCCAAAGGGCCGCGGAAGGCCGGCGACAGGAGCCTTACAACATGAACTTTGTTGGATAACCCGCATATGCTTTTGGCCAAACTGGAGTCTCGGGCTTCTATTCATGCTGGAAACATTCGATATGCCCTGTATCTCGTCTAACCAAAATCTGCGTACAAATTGCACTATCTCAGCATTGGGCATCCGCAAATGTATGAGAGTCATCCGTGGCAAATTGGTGGATGAACTATAGCGTATAGCCACACACACATCACACACAGAAGTTATCAGAAGTTGCATGAGAGATGCTGCGCAGACGCTCATTAGTTGGTTCGATTTAGCCATCAATTGCCCGCATCTCCTCCCGCTCCTGCTCCAATCCTTCTCGCAGGTTGTTGAGTACCAGAGTGTCGTTTTCCCAGACTGGGACCGTGGTGCCAGCTGGATGAGGGAGGTGGCACGCATGCCCGCAGGGTTGCGGCCGGCTTCTTGCAGGCTGGTTCGGGATCTGAAAACGAGACCACTGCTTAGAAGCGCGTACGGTAGACAAAGGTAATCACGTAGAGACAGATGTGGCCCAGGACCGCCCAAGGCTTTTGGTGTCGCTTTGGGATGCATTTTGGTCACTGGGATATGCCCTCACAGTATCGAGAGATAGGTATCGATAGACGGTTCACCGTCGCCAAGAAGCCCTTTGGTGAGGCTCATGGACCAGAATCAGCTGCAGCTAGCACAAGCCTTGAAGCAAGGCTCAGAGGAAATCAGTGCATGGCAGAGCCTTCGCAACAGCTTGAAAGATGCTTTCTTGCACTGGAAAGGCGCGGGGTGGAGGAACTCCTCATTTGATTCTTTCCTCACACCCAGCTTCTGTGCCAGCTGGCCCAGTCGGGCTGGGCTTGTTTTTTTTAGTCGTTCCAAGAGGAAACACTAAACAACCTGCATACGGTATGGTAAACGTCACCGGACTTTCAACAGAGTACACAGTCAAACAACATGATGTGACATGAGCACCTGGATCATGTCACACAAATATGTGTAAAAAGCAGTGAACCAGGTGAAACCTTGACTCCTTGGCTGAAACAGGCATCTCTTTGGAAGACGCTGCAGCAGTTACATTAGTCTTTGAGGGCCATCGAGCTGAAGTCAATCTGCAGAAGAAGGAGATCTCGAAGCTGGTCCCTTGGTCACGAGAGGGACTCACAGTGCCTCCAGTTGGTTCAATTGGGTTTTGCCGCAAGGCTTGAGGTGCTTCTGCAAGGCTGAAACAAGATTAGTCCTTTTCGCACAGGCACCTCTTGCCTCAGGTGAGTATGGCCGGAGGCCTGTGGGGTGGCGCTTCAGCCGGATCGGCTGGATACACCCTCACCTTTGCAATTGCTTACTTGCGAGACTTCGGTTTGGACTATCGCATCCTCTCGGAGTCTCTGGAGACCATGGTGCCCTGGTCTACAATCCATGAAGTCTGGCCAGCAGTGAAAATGGCGGTGCAAAGGGAACACCGCCAGCTGCGCTTGCCTGGCAAGCCTTTCATGTCTTGTCGCATGACTCAGCTCTACGATGAAGGTGCCTTGATTTCCAACAGAGTTTTCTATTCTTTCAGGCCTATGGTTTGAGAAAGCCTTGGATCATGACAACTATTCTTCAAAAAAAATATCTTGAATAGTCATGATTAGTCATGCTGGAATGAAGTCAGGAGCAAACAGCAAGTAGCACAAACGCACAGGAACAAAGTGAAGTTGAGCTCGTAGTGTTGCCAATAAATGCAGCCTGATCTGCTCTGTTTTAGTCAATATGTTGCCGTCTTATGTGAAGTTGTTTCCCGCACATTTTCCGTATTTCTGCAACTTTTGCGACCTGTGGTTTCATGGTGTGATATTCACCACTAGGAGAACCTAAGAGATCTCAAGTGAACATGCCACCAAATTCAACTGTTTTTCATCATGCAGGCGCTTTGCAGTATTACTACAACATGCTGTGTTGCGGCTACATCTACATACATGAGAGCTTTTCAGCGCAACCGATAATGGGACAAAACATGCCCTCAAGCTCGTCCCAAAAGGCTAATGTTCTCAATCACATTTTAAGCAATGCTAGGTTGTTTTTGCAATACTAATGACGGTTAATGTCATACTGTTATACTTTTATTATTGTTCGGATCTCCAGTTTGTTTTGGTTCATGTTCTCTGTAGAAACACCCGTTACACGGAAGGCTGCACGCACACACACACACACACACACTCTCACCCTCAGCACAAACTTCAGACCACGCTAGCGGAATTCATAGGTCAAGAGAAACACGGTGTTCCTGTTTTGATTGGATTATTTGCCAGACAAAAGAAATCAAAAGAACTATATAACTTGTGATGTTTCAGGCGGGGTCCTGTACATGTACCTCGCCATTTGCACTACGGGGCTCGAAGCGCAAAGCGCTCTTGCGGCCTTTGAGAGCTTGGAGCATGCAGCTCGGTGCGCCATTCTCAATGCAGGTGGCTGCCTGAGCCACCATCACGGGGTGCCTGGGAGGATATTGAACTACTCTTGTATCGTTTTGATTTTAGGGCTTTGCGTTTTCTTTCCACTGTCAAACGGATAATATAGACACACATGTGTGTTCCTCTCTTTTGTGGGGTTCACGACTTCCAAGGTTGGCAAGCTCAGAGCTTCGTTACTGCCTGAGACCCAATCTCTCGTTCTCACACAAGCCTTGAGAAACTTCAAAATGGCATTGGATCCTTCCAATGTCTTGGCTGCCAGAAATGGCACCTGGTGCACGACGGCTCTCGAGGGCTCAGACTCGCAAAGCCTCGCGAGCGATGCTCACGAGTCGGAGGATTGAAAACGGAGTTCTAACGGGATGGGACGGAGAGAGTTCCCCTCTCGAAATAAAGACCTTGGAAGATGGGGACGCAATAGGACGATTCAGCCCATTGTCGATGCATTCGAAACCCTGTACAAGTCGCCCAAGACCCGCACCCACTGAGAGTGCGTGGATGCCTGGCACCTTTTCCTGCAGCTGCTTTCCGACCAAGCGGGCAGAATACCAGTGCCGCAAGCTTGAACTCCCATCTCACACTTCAATCCACGGTGGTTTGGACCTGTCTGCTTGTGAGATGTCTTGGTTTTTGGACTTCATCTCGACAAGGATACAGATGGTAGGTTGTTTGGTTTGGGTTCCTCGAAGGGGGCCTGCACAGAGGAATTTCGACTCCAGAATTTCGACACGCTGAGCCGAAAGCGGAAGATTCTTCGCGCAGCCGAAAGCCATGTCGTGGCCAACTGCCTTTTGTGGGGCCACGGGTGAGCAGGAGCTGGTCGATGAGATCGTTGCTTGGAAGAGACGAGGCCGTAGCGGCCGTAGCGGCCGTAGCATTCCTCAAAAGGACGAGGCGGTGGTGGTCAAATTGGTTGTATGCTTGCGACCGGAATCCTGTGCTCAGACACCCAAAACAGATGGCTCAGTTATACACTGCACGAGGTACTATGGACCAAACAGGTCCTACAGTACCGGTGAATCATAGGACTCATGGGTGAGAAATTTGACCAACCTTTGGTGACTCAGGCTGCTACACTTCAAAAGAGAGGAGCGTTGGCTTCTTGGCGTTGGCTAAGATAGACTGGAATATGACATAAATTATAGAAGAACAATACTGTAAATTAAATGTTTTCAAGTTACTGGAATATCTCATAACTTATATATTACTATTGAGATATACACATATATATATATATTGATATATTTTGTTATGCCACAATGTGGTTACTTCCTTTTCAGAAGAGAATCCAAAGGAATTAACCTTCAATGCGTGAATCTCAGAGCGTGCAATTCAGTTGCTGGTCAAGATGCTTATTCTTAAGACGATGAGCCTAATTTATGGAGTGGAAGCATTTTATTGAAGGCCCTTCACAACATAGTTGGAGCTCCATGTGTCACTGTGATAGAGCAGACTCTTGAACGCCCGGGTTGTATTCCTGCAGCTGGTGTTTGCACACACCATGTGTTTACACCAGCTGCGCAGTCTTAAAGTCTTAAAGTTTGAAGGTGCGAGTGAGATCCTCAAAAGCCGCGCGTCTTCAAGGAAATTCAAGTCCTTTCCAAGCAGTTCGCTGAGCGTTTCAACCGAGTGGTGCGGGTGCGGGCCTTGGCGGCCGAAGCGAGCTTCGGGGTTCAAGGCCAGCAAAACCGAGCAACGACAGACCAGTCCAGTTCTCTAAATTTGTCAGGAGATTCAGTTGGTCAGTCTGATTCTTGAATATTCTTGATATCTTGGACCTTGGTGCAGCGCACGATGGAAGATCAACTAGCTGGCCCATTTTCTTTTGGACTCATTTTTGGACAAGTACTTTTCAATCAAGCAGTGCCTGGGTTGGTCAGGTACACATTTCTCCACAAACCATCTGCCCTGCCCAAGAGGTTTGTTTCTGCTCTGGTCGGCTCACTTCCCACAGCGAACCACTCCTCTGATGTGGATATGCCATCCTTCGGCCCGGCTAAGTTGAGTCCTTGGTCACCATATGCCGAAAACCGGCGGAATGATGGAAGCTTCAAGAAATGGCCACCTGGCAGCTTGAAAGAAGAGAATGCCCTAATCTACTGTAGATGTGAAATGACCAATTAATACATTTCGCGCATATTTGTACTCTGACATAAGACCAGCAGTACAAACCAGAACTGGTGAATGTGGACTCCCTGGATTCCCAACAACCTGCCTGAATTGATCGCTTCCCTAAATACTTGAAACTCGTGATGCGTATAATTCATATTTGAGTTCTTGTGTTGGTTTCGGTTTCCAGGTGTTTTCTCCTTTTAATTGCACCTTTTGCAGGCAGAGTGGAGAGGCTCACATTGACACACAAACACCTCAGGCATACCTTCGACCAGGTTGTGTTGTGAGTGCTGGCTTTTATCCCTTACGTTGAACTTCCTCTAGAAGCTCAGGCAAACACAGTAGTCGTTGAACTCAATTTGCACAAACAACTGAGCCATTGTAAGACAGATTAAGAAAGACTAAGAAAGTAAACCAACTATCCTGAGGCTAACATCCTATTCACTGCTTGCTTCAGGTTGAAAGATTGTGGTTTCGATGTTGGACAAATGATCAACGGCAACCAGGCTGGGGGGAGGGCAACCGACCCGACCGACCAGACCGACCTGCGATGGTTTCAGGCATGGGTCTATGCTCCAGAGACCTGGGACTCCGGCGCCTGGGAGGACGGGGTGAGCCCGAAAGACAGAGTTTGAAGAGGTCCCGAATGAAAGCCCATCAATTCAGGATTCTTTGAAAGGAAGGTCCGAAATCGCTGGAAGTCACTCGTCTAGTCCGACATGGGGTGTAAGTTGGTGTAAGAACTCATGAGTAGCATTTGTTCTGTGCTTTATCCTTTCTTTTTGCAAGGGCTTTGGTGAAACGTTGCACATGCCCTCGTGGAACCTGCGCGGGGATATCAAGTGCAAGTTTGATATCAGGCACAGGCACTCATCTTTCAGCGCGTACAACAGTCTTCGGTCGGGTCATTTCGCAACATTTTCGCTCCGCCAGTGCATTGCCATGGAGATACAAACAAATCACCCGGGCTTCGTTTCGGACCGCAGCTGTATGGCTTTCACGCTGTAGTGTGCGAACGCGCAGGCGACCGCTCCAAAGCACGTTTCCGAGACCCGGGAGCTATTTCGAAAAACGTATTTGCCCCACATTGACGTGTGGGGTTGTTGTTTTTAGTCTGGTATCCGCTCCTGCCTCGCTCCTCCTCCTCGCCCCGCTCCTCCACCACTTGTCACTCACCAACCAATTGTCATCAACCAAATGTCACCAACCATTTGTCACCAACCAATTGTCACCAACCAATTGCCACCAACCAATTGCTACCAACGATTTGCTTGCCACTTGTCTTCTGCAGGGGGTCGGATGTACGCCCCGGTGCTGGCCGGTGCTGTGCTGCTGGGTCTCCGCCGCTGTTCCGCCGTGATCTGCGCGCGAGGTGTTCAAAAACACTGTGTTTTACAGGGCTTTGTGGGCGTGGAAGGTCTACATTTGGACAGTGGCGAAATGCAAAAACGGTGTGTTTTACACGGGTGGTGTCGGTAATGCGCGCTGGCCCCGCGTGCATAATCGGAATTTTTGGAGTCATGGGCCCGTGTCAACGCAAATGGCGCAAAATGTACCCGCCCCAAGACGGCCTAACATAGGCCCAAGATGGCCCAACATAGGCCGAAGAGGGGCCCAACATAGGCCGCAGAGGGCACAACATAGGGCCAACATGGGCCCAAGATGGGCCAACAACAACAACAGCAGCAACAACAACAACAACGACAACTGGTGGGTGGCAATTGATTGCCGTGACAGTTGATTGAAGACAATTGGTTGAGGACCATTTTTTCCCCAATAGCCATGCTATGGGGTCTTGCAAAACTAATAGGCGGACGGGCGCCGTCGGGTCACCGTCAGAGCTGGTGGGCGGATGGTGTCCCGGTCATGTTTTGATGGCCTCCGGGTCATGTGATGCTGGTGTCCCGGTCATGTTTTGATGGTGTCCCGATCATGTTTTGATTGTGACCCAGTCATGTTGTGATGGTGTCCCGGTCCTGTTTTGATGGTGTCCCGGTCATGTTTTGATGGTGTCCCGGTCATGTTGTGATGGTGTCCCGGTCATGTTGTGACGGTGTCCCGGTCATGTTGTGATGGTGTCCCGGTCATGTTGTGATGGTGTCCCGGGCATGTTTTGATGGTGTCCCGGTCGTGTTGTGACGGTGTCTCGGTCATGTTTTGATGGTGTCCCGATCATGTGATGGTGGCGCGGTCATGTTGTGATGGTGTCCCGATCATGTTTTGATTGTGTCCCGGTCATGTTTTGATGGTGTCCCGGTCGTGTTGTGACGGTGTCCCGGTCATGTTTTGATGGTGTCCCGATCATGTGATGGTGGCGCGGTCATGTTGTGATGGTGTCCCGATCATGTTTTGATTGTGTCCCAGTCATGTTGTGATGGTGTCCCGTCCTGTTTTGATGGTGTCCCGGTCATGTTTTGATGGTCCCGGTCATGTTTTGATGGTGTCCCGGTCATGTTTTGATGGTGTCCCGGTCGTGTTGTGACGGTGTCCCGGTCATGTTTTTGATGGTGTCCCGGTCATGTTGTGATGGTGTCCTGGTCATGTTTTGGCGGTGCGCCGGTTATGTTTTGATGGTGTCCGGGTCATGTGACGGTGTCCCGGTCATGTTGTGATGGTGTCCTGGTCATCTTGTGATGGTTTTCCCGTCATGTCATGTTGGTGTCCCGGTCACCTTGTGATGGTGTCCCGGTCATGTTGTGATTGTGTCCCAGTCATGTTGTGACGGTGTCCCAGTCATGTTGTGATCGTGTCTCGCTCATGTTGTGACGGTGTCCCGGTCGTGTTTTGGTGGTGTCCCGGTCATGTTTTGATGGTGTCCCGGTCATGTTGTGATGGTGTCCCGGTCATGTTTTGATGGTGTCCCGGTCATGTGATGGTGTCCCTCCCGGTCATGTTGTGATGGTGTCCCGGTCATGTTTTGATGGTGTCCCGGTCGTGTTGTGACGGTGTCCCGGTCATGTTTTGATGGTGTCCCGATCATGTGATGGTGGCGCGGCCATGTTGTGATGGTGTCCCGATCATGTTTTGATGGTGTCCCGGTCATGTTGTGATGGTGTCCCCGTCATGTCATGCTGGTGTCCGGTCACCTTGTGATGGTGTCCCGGTTATGTTGTGATGGTGTCCCAATCATGTTGTGACGGTGTCCGGTCATGTTTCGATGGTGATTTTGTGAAGGTGTCCCGGTTATGTGATGATGGTGTCCAAGGAAGAGATGGTCGATGTGTTGAAAACAGCAGCTGTTTCCAGATTTTTCTTTTTGTCCCGGTTTGTATCTTGCTATTGGGGTCTCCAGCTGGGAAGGCTCAAAAATAACCAGTTCAGAAGGGCAGAGACCTACCAACCAGTTGTCACCAACCAACTGCCACCAACCAATTGTCACCAACCAATTGCCACCAACTGATTGTCACCAACCAACTGTCATCAACGAATTGCCACCCACAATCAATTGCCACCCACAATCAATTGCCACCCACCAATTGCTAATTGCTACCAACTAATTGTCACCAACCAACTGTCACCAATTGCTACCAACCAATTGTCACGAACTAATTGTCGTCAACCAGTTATCATCAACCAATTGCCACCCACCAATTGTCGTCAACTAGTTGTCATCAACCAATTGCCACCCACCAATTGCCACCAACAAACTGCCACCAACCAATTGCCACCAACCCATTGCCACCAGGAAATTGCCACCAACCAATTGCCACCCACCAACCACCAATTGTCCGCTCCTGTGTCCAGTGAAGTTGTTAACATGTGGGGTTATCCGGTCCTATAATTCGAAATCACTGATGCGACCATGGCGAACTCACTGGTTTTTCGACCCAGGAGGACTGGCATAGCACTGCCCACAATGCAGCCATTGTGGAGCTTTCCAGCTGGGGCGCGGACACCGGGCGCCGACTCGGTCCCGACGGTCGGGTGGTCCTTTTGGATCATGGGCATTCATGTGCCATGTTGTCCTAGATTGCAGGTGTCAGATAAGTCAGTCACTTTGCGCCACCATGCAGAAAAGAGTTGTTTGGATTATCCAAGCCTGTCAGGCATTGGAGATGCTGGCATAGTGGATATTTTCAAGCAAGAGTTCCCCGGCATTTTGCTCTCATGTTCAGATTTTTTTCACCAAACAGTGTGGTCACACTAGGGGTTCTTACGGTATTCTTACGGTAGTGGTTAAGGGCCGGTGTTTAATCGAGGTGTTGCACCGGGGCGTCTGGCTAATTCGTTGCTATTTACAGTACATTCACGCCTCTGGAAATCTTCGGAGTGCGTTTCAGGCTCGCAAAATCTGGTGGGGCGCGGCGGGTGCTTGTCGCGACTGCGCTCTCGTTGTGGCGCCGTGCGCATTTTCGGGCATTGTGGTCACTTTTGGTGGCAGCTCGTGTGATCCAAACTCGACTTTTCGTGACAGGCGCAGGGGGTCGGAGCGGTTTTACTTCGATGTGTAGATTTCGTGGCAGGCGCAGCACTTTGGACATGGTAGTTATCTTCGACGCGCTCTGACTTCGTGACAGGTGCAGTGAATCGTGGCTATTGGACAGTGGGTCGTTTTCAGAAATCGGGGGAAGTCTCGCGCGAACGTTGCGTTTTCGTATCTTGATGTTGTCTTTGGAAGCGCTCTTGCGGCAAAAGGGCTGCGCCATGTGAATCTTGAAGTGCAGATTTCATGGCAGGCACAGCATTTTGTGAACCTGGAAAAACATTTTTTGGGCAGACGGAGCACTTTGTCAACCTCGACGCTCTCGACCTCCAGATCGCTAGACCTCTAGACCTCGCGGTCTAGATCTAGATTTTTTAAGACCTCTCTCGGCCTAGGTCTCTTAATTCTTTTGATTTTTACAGACCTTTAGATTGTTCTCTTGATTTCTTCTAGACCAAGAGACCTCTACAACTAACTGTCTGGATCTAGGCATAGAACTTGAATCTAGCTCTCTCCCTTAATCTCTAGTTACGATCGCTTTCCCGACCTCTATACCTCAGTATTGTTTCTAGGCCTCTAGAAATAGAGATCGATTATGATCGACTCGTTTTTTGCAATTTCAACTTGCATGTTTTTTTCGTTTGAAAAAATCATAATATGTTTTGCATGTGCAAGTGTTACCTATGTGCTCTCATTCCCGGCAGTTCATGTTTGTGCGTGATCTGGTGTGGTTGCGTATGCAAGGGATCGCATTGCGCAGTACTTGGGTGCTCTCGTATGCGTGTTCGCCTCGCGGTGCTTTCATAAGCGCGTGTGCTTTGACACGTGCGGTCTCGCGATCGTGGGTGCTCTACCTCGGACTCGTCCTTTGGGGTCTCTTGCCAGGATAATGTTGAATGTAATTTAGCAGTAGATTCTTGTTACTAGTAGCGATGGCCGAAAACCTACTTGGCTTCTAGCTACTGTAATTCCATGTAATTCCCGTTTAATTACCATATAGTATTTCGCCCCCAGAGACTCTGAGGATTGCCCACAAATTTGGAATCGGGCACTCAATTCCCTGTATACTTACAATGCCATGTCTGGGACTGTGGGCGCTTGAGGCCTTGGAATCGGTTTTCGCGATCGGATGACGGACACTTTCACTACATATTTGTCAAGTTCTCAGCAGTTCCAGTCAAATGACAGTACACAACCTACACCCTGAAGCCGTAGAGCCTAATGTGGGGAAGGCGAACCATGCGTCCTGGTACTAGTATTTGCATGTAGTTGCCTGCGGGCACCTGTGAACTAAGGACTTGCAATGTGATGTACAATCCTGGAATTCGCAACAGCGAGACAGTACACCTTCGCCGCAGCTCCCTACAACTTCAGCTTTGTTTGTTCTTCCCGCGGCACAAAAAGAAAAATAACCACTCGACTCCCGCATGGCGTTGTGGTTGGAAGTCTAAGCCAGACATCCCCAATATCTGGCTGAGCGGCGGTCGAGCGACTGCGTGACTGTCATCGGTATGACTGTGGTGGTTCGAAGACGAGCACGGTTACACATTCGAGACATCGGTCTGGAAGCCAAGGAGTAAATTTGCAAGAAAATCGTCTCAGTGATGCTGGAGTGGAGGCTGCTTGATGAACAATTCGCACTTGGACGTATCCAGCGGACATTGAGATCTCTTTCCTTTTTGGAGGGGTCAAAACAGGTTTAGAGCTTGATGGAGCGTTCACTTCCCACTTTTTCTTTGCAAGACATTTGGTTTTTGAACAACTCCTTGCTGCTGCAAGCAGTTCTAAGCAGCTCTGTTATCTTTCTTGCATGCAGTCCCTGTCTCATTTGCTGCAGGAACTTGTCGAGTGCTTTCTGCAGCTCCGAGCCTGAGTTGCATTCATTCATCACTTGAGCTGTGTGCGTGGAGCATCCCGTGCTTTGACGGAGGGGGGACAGCTTTATGTGCCAAGGACTGAGGATGGATGTCTTGAAGCTCTACAAAAACCCAGGCACAGCTTTATCAAGTCCTGTTGACGCCATCTAAACAAGATATTTGCTGAGGCATCAGCAACCGTGGAGCTTGCAAACTTGCGAAGCTCTATGGGATGGAGCCGTTGCTGAATTTGGGAGGTGGATCACGTTTTGGATTTCCCGAGCTTATTCCAACCACTTCATGTAGTCAGAGTCAGTGGACTGGGTCTTCCTTTGTTTGTAGCGACTTATATGCTACCCGCTAACCACATACAGCATTTACATCGAACGTAGTCAAAGGAAGGCATTAGGCAAGCTATGAAAGCCAAGCTGCATCGACATTGAAGCGTTCACGCGTGTGCATTCACGCGCGCAAGTGTCACCTTGTCAGCTTTGACGGACATGAGATGGAGTGACCAACGAGAAGTCGTCGATCACACATGGTCGGTCGACCGAAATGGTCCATACATGGTGAAGCACACTCAATCCCTTTTCATCCCTTTTCAATCAATTTCCGTTCTCCTTGCATTCCCTGTTCGAATGCTCAATGCGCCTAAGGACTGTCGGCCACCTCCAAAGGAACTGCATTTGTCCGACTGTTCTGTGCACGAGTGTCTTGTCTGTCCGTGGCGGCCACCTTAGCTGGGGAAGGTCCCAGTCACCTCAACCAGGGAAGAGTATGATGATGTCAAGAAGCATTCGTCACCTTGGTAGACCAAAAATGAACAGAGTCATTTTTTTGAGTGATGTCAACCTACCATGATTTGTAGGGTGAGGTTTTGACCTACAGCCATGCAAGCAGATGTCAGCACAGTCAGATTGCAAGGCAACCGGGGTACTTGATCACACACTTGCTTTCGCTTTTGCCACAGTGTTCTGCAAACCATCTCCAGACGAATGCATTACAGTACATAACACTTAACACCAAAAGAATCCATATGGCAAACCAGCGTGGAAATCTGCCACAAGCAATCCAACATACTGTAGATTCCGAAGTGGAAAGATGCTGCGCATTGGTCTATATAGTGATCTAGCCACTGCAGGCAAGGGGCCAGCGAGCTGCTGGTCGCAATCGCCCACCGATGGAGAAATTCGGATCTTTGGTCAAAGGCTGCCAGGCCTGCCTATGCAGCTCTCCTGCGCTTGGAGAACTTCAGTGAACATCGTATGTTCAGTCATGAGCCATCATGTTCTGAGCCATCGTGCGTAGAAAGAACGACTTGGTGCTAGCCATTTGTTTTTGAGTAGAATCGCATATGACTTCGTACAGACGCTGGATGAATGGCTTCGTCACCACACGCCGCCATGCCACCGTGCTGAGGTTCGTCTAGACAACAATCCATTCAGCAGCTCAGCTGCGCTTTGCATGCTGAAGGTTTCACAGTGCTTTAACAAGGGCCTACAAACCAGGAATTACAACATGTTTTTTTTGATAGAGAGCTGTAGAAGTCAAACGTAGAATATCTAAGAGTTTGTTCGAAGGATTTCGCCACTCACCGGCGTCGTTGGCACGTCCTGTGCGTCTCCTGTGCAGCTTTGGAGTTACTGTACCCACCTTCAAAAGGGCCACGGAACAGAGGAAAACCGGGCTCATGGGATCTCATTCATCGCTAGTAGGTTGGAGGCCATCGCTAGTGGGTTGGAGGCCATCGCTACTAGGGTGGAGCAAGCTTCTTGTCCTCTCTTTCAATCGTCACGGATTTTGTTTGACTCTGATACCACGTACAGACGGTACATGTGTTGTGTGTTCGTTGCACGCCTCGTTGGTTTAAAGCCTCGCTGGATTTCCTTGTACAACGCACAAAGGAAAATGGGGACCTTGGGGGTAGACCTGAGGTCTAGACCAAGTCCAAGACTACTTGTACTCCTTGAACTTCTACCTGAAACAGGCATGGCATGCGGCATGGCATGCGGCATGGCATACTAAGCTGACTTGGTTGATCAAAATTGCAATGCTACTTTGCTGGTTTTCAGAACATCACGGTTTTGTGAAGTGCTTTGGAATTCAGGCAGATGATGCCTGAAGAGTTTATGCTGAGACACGAAGTAGCACTTGTCAGCAAAGTTGCAAACAGATTGGCTATGAACAAGCTTGAGACACTCCACTCGGAACAAGGGTTTGTGCTGCACACCTCAATCTCGTGCAGGTGTACGACCCACGACGTCAGCATGATGGATGCGAGGTGTTGGCCAAACAGTCCTTTTCTTCCACTAGAGTCAAGTTACAAGGTCTTTGAAACGCACTCTCTAAAGACAACCTAGGACAGCGCCCTGCGAAATCCAGGAGAACGACATAGAACGAGTTTACTGTATATAACATAACAATATATATACTGTATATATTTATTTATTTATTCATTCTTAGTCCATCCAAGCCAAGAGTATTTTTGTGTACAGATGAAAGGATGTTTACTGTAGCCACATTGTGATACCAAGATTACACAAGACTGCACACAATAGAGAAGCGCAAGTCAGACTGCCTGGATCAACAGGTTTATGAGCTCGCCGGAGGGCCTTCCTTGATCACGCACCTTGAATGAGAATGGAAGCAGCAAAGTTTGGGTGTTCCTCTGAGTTTTGTGAGCAAACAAGGTCATGTAGGTTTTCACAATTTTTCCCACCTGTAGCGCCCAGGATCTGAGTTGCATGTGACATTCATTGAGCAAAAATGCAGTAGGGTAGCTGGAACTATCTGTGAATGACCCTGACATGTCGGGTTGGCCGAGGCTCCCATTCGTGAGCTTCAGTTCGGCCAGCCGCTACAGTCACAGCGGTCACAGGCTTCCGCTTCTTTTCCTCGCTTTAAGAGTGTGGAAGGATTGTCTGTGAAGTTTAGGTGTGACCTTGTTTGATTGGATACGGGTTGCTGGCGTTGTTTGTTGCAGCTGCAGGCAACAAGCCTGGGAACCAGAGACGCCGGATCAGGAGGTCGGGTTTGCCTAACTGATTCACACTGATCGAGAGACCCTCAAGATGTTTTGGAGAGAATCGCTGGACTCTGTGCAGGGATGCGACGGCTTGCAGTCTCGCTTGTAGACATACATGGCTTGCTCCCTTAATAGCACAGCTTCATTCGCATGTTGCTGTATCAGACACTCATTGGTCGCGGTGTCCGAAAAACATCGACCTGCGTGGTTGCCAGTTCCGAAGTTCGGTCAAATCAGCCGAGCAAATCCCGTTGTCTGTCGTTGCCACGCTAGTAGTAACAAGTGCCACGCTAGTAGTAACAAATTAGAATTAAGTTAAATTAGAATGCAACACGCAGCGAGTGGCCGAACGTCGCAGGGGTCGTACCCGAAGACGCAGCCCGGCGAGACGACAGGGCTGAGCGTCTTTCAGGACTCGGACTCAGCCGACTCGTGGCATTGGTCCATTTGTGACCAAATCACGCCACCGCAGGGGCAACAATGCCAAGATAGCCCTGTGACTGAGGCATGATTCTGGTGCGTAGCGATTTGGATCGGTCATGTTCGGTCCTGTCTTCTTTTGTTCTGACTTAATTACCGGCGGCTTCCTAGTACGGTACATCCTAATAGGTATGTCACAAGATTTGTTCATTCAACCTGAAGACTCTTGCTTAAGGGTTTTCCATTGGGGTTCAGGCTCAGGCTTGTCCAACATGCCACGTGGCAACGTCAGTTTCCAGATCGATCGATGTCCGAAACGCATGGAAATGTGACCAGGAGAACCTGGCCAATCCTCCACCTGATGTGGAGGGACTGCCTATCCAGCGCGGATGTACCGTGCAGCAACTTGGTGAGCGATTCACTCAAGATTGGATGAGCTCATGGACCCCCCAAAAATCTAGGAACCAAAGGAACCAAATCATAACAAGCGTGAGCTATCCTGCGTCCAGTTACTACTTGTAGAAGCTTAAGTAGCTAGGAGATGCTAGGAGCAAACTTTTCCCTTATAATTGAGTAGGCGCCTAGGAGGGAGGGCCACGGGCCAATACCCTGAATGCACACACGCAGTCGAAAACAAACGGCCCAACATTGTTTGACACTCTACTCTTGTCGGACACTCTTTTAGGCGGCACTCTTGTAGGACACTCTTGTAGGAGACAGTCTTGTGGGACACGCTCATGCGACACTCTTGTGGGACACTCAATGTGTGGGACTCACTCTTGCGGGACACTCTTGTGATTGTGGGACACTGGTGGAATGCTCTGTTGTGATCGGTTGGGGGCCGATTGCAAACGCTACGACCACGCGTCGCGAAGAAGACTCTACCCCCAAACCCCAAAAGTTGAACGAGAACCGCTTCGCTACGCATTCGGGAAAGAAAAGAGCACTAGACTAGTCCAATAGGGTCATGAAGGGCTATCCGGGTTAGGTTCCATGTCTGGTCTCTCACCGGCTTGTCCCTCTACTACGGTGGTCTCTCACCGTGGTCTCCAATAGTGACGAACCGTCCCTTTCATTTTGCAAAGCCCCTCAAGTTGCCGAGTTGACCTTGTGAGGTATCACGATGTCAACGCCTCAGAGTTTTACTCCGGCCAAGAGAATTTTGCAACGGTTTTAGTGTCGAAATTGCATGAATTTGCGCAGTTCACTCTTCATTCCATCCCTGGCTATTATAGATTGATACAGAGTTGTCGGCAGCCAGGGCTTTGTGTCCAAGGACCCCAACTGGATTGGCGTCGTGGTTGGCTTTGACTACAAGGCCGCCCCTTTGGACTTGGAATGACTTGGAAGTCACCTTTCAAGTCATACATCATCATACATCTACTTAACCAAATTCAGACGATTATGTAAGAATTTGATAGAATTTGATGTAACTGCATGTCAATTGTTCTCTTTGCCTTTGTCATATTCTTATATATACTAGCTGAAACGGGCCGGGTCTTCGTTAACGCTCAGCGAGTAGATGTCTAGTGGCACCCACAGACGGCGCTTTTGGTGTTGCCCGACCCGGTCCTCCTGGCACACAGGGTACCGCTGTCGTGGCCTGGCATCATGGAGCCAAAAAGGGCACCCGGACGACTGCCGGCAGCAAGTGACCCAAAGAGATGACGTCGTCGAAGAGACGGACACGACGGAGTGTGAAGGAAAGGGTCTCGGTTGTGACGCGTTTTTTTGTCTCGAATGTGACGCGGAGAGCTTTTCTCAGTTGTGACGCGGAGAGCTTTTCTTTTAGATAATCTGTGTGCTTCTGGGCCCTTGCTTG